TGTGAGTGTGTGTGTGTGTGTGTGAGTGTGTGTGTGTGTGCGTGCGTGCGAGCGTGTGAGTGTGTGTGTGTGTGTGTGTGTGTGTATAAAAGTATTTATAATGTACATTGTAATGCATTATATCATTTCATTAATACTTGTAACCAAAGTTAAAATGCATTATAATATTTGGTTTGTCTGTCATGTGTTTTCATACATTATACTTTCTAAAGGTGTAACAATGAATATATAAAAGTCAAGTCACCTTTATTTCTACAGTGCTTTATACAGTACTGATTGTGTCAAAGCAGCTTTACAGAGTCAAACAGAACAATAGTATGTCAATAATGCAAGAGCATTATAGTAAAATTACTAACTGTGGTTACAATTATTCATAAGACCATACAGTGCACTACGAGGCTAAATTAATGCATTAAAACTACATATATAATGCATCATATATGAAGGCTTTAAGTGTTACTGTTTTTCTTTTTTAAACTGTAAAAATGCAGAACATTCTCTGTTAGTGCTTGATTTTAGTATTTATAATAACTGTATGTAAAAGTAATACGTCCATATTTAGATAACTAAGTAAATGTGTGCATGCATGTGTGTTTGTGTTTTTAATAGCTCTCTGTGGTCAGCTGAAGAACAAGAAACAGAAATGCGACAATAGAATCAGCAGAAACAAAACCCAGAGACAAGTGAACCCACCTCTGAGAAAGCTTTATCTCCAGACGAACGCATCTGAGAACAAACAACCAGTGAACATTACTTTCATCATCAGAGAAATTCAGTTCAACATCAAAAACATATTCCCTTCATAACTCAAAATCTAAATGTACATTGAAGGCCGTGTCACAGAATTGAGGTATTTTTAATTTAATCGTGCAAACGAAGTTTTGGGATTTTAACAAACTGAAAATAAGCAGGTCCGTGAACTCAAATGTAGATTTCAGTGTAATCTAGAATGCAGTATTTTTTTAGGTGTTGTTCACCGTTCAAAACTGCACTGAGAAAGTATTTAAATCCCAATTGAATTACTACATTTAAATTGAATATGTTCATGAAAACATGAACTGAAAGTTGAAGCTTGAAGAAAATAGATTGATATTTTATGGAAAGGACGATAAAGAGGAGGAAGACTGATTGTGATAAAGAAATTCCCTTTTTATATTCTGCATTTATTTAAATTATAGGCTTTTATTTCGTTTATTTATTTATTTTCACATACAAATACAATAAAATAAATTCACCTTGCCTTTAATGGGGACCTCAGTCATTTGGTAGAGATTCATAATTTAAAAAAAAATGCCTATAAAAATGTTTAATATTGCTTGAAGGCATCTGTGCTCCAATGAACTACAAAATGCAAGGAAATAATGTTTTTTTTATTTTTATGGGTGCATCCAATTAAAGTGTTAATTCAGGGCATGGCAAGTGTGGATTTTCTTGCCAAAATATGTTGTCAATAGATTAATAATTAGATTTATATTCATCTTACTAGTAAACACATTTCTTTTAGTCACCATAAAGGTCATTTATTCTATAAATGGGTGGAAAATGACACTAAATGTCTTGATGAAGTGTCACCTTTAATCTGCAGTAGAGGACGGTCAGAACAATGCCGTAAACGATCAGAATCCCGTCCAGAATGTAACACACTCCTCCATCCTGCTGCGCAGCTGACAAACAACAAGATCTTTCACACAACAGCTTCAACAAATGCCATCCACGTGAAAAAGCGTTATCGTAATACAAGTAAATAAATAATTCATCACTGTATATACATTTATAATGATTCAATAAACATGCTTAATGTTAAATGTTTAAAGCAATATATTATAATGTTTAAATATTTAAAACAATTATAAATGTTTAGATGCTTAAAGCATACACTCTAAACAATGCTGGGTTGTTTCAACCCAACTTTGGGTCAAATATGGGCTAACCCAGCCGTTGGGTTACATTTTTACATTACATTTTTAACCCAAAAGTTGGGTTGAAACAACCCAGCATTTTTTAGAGTGTAGTTTTTAATGCACCCAATGCACACAGTTGTAAATGAATTCATAAAAATCGAATTCACTCTCATTAATTAGTAATATAGCTCAAATTAAATTAAATTGATTCAAAATGACTATGTATTTGTTTAATGCGGAACAGGAAGAGGTGGTTTAATTTGACCTTTTTCTAAACAAACGTTGACACGTTTCTGTTACAGATGTGTCGTCAGGATTTCTCGGGGGGTTCTGTGTCGGATAAAGTTTGATTGGATCTGATCTTACCGACTCGTCCGGCGTTGAGCAGGAGAATCAGACAGACGTCCAGCGACTGCATCTTTCCTCTGAAATGACAGACAGAGGGAGAGTCAAGCAGAAATGAGTGAAGAGGAAGAGTGAACCATGGCAGTAAAAAAAAGGTTCATTTAACAGGAAGCTGTGGGTTGACACGAAGTGTCCGAAATACACACACGCACATACACTGACATACATGCAATTTCACACCAGCGTCCTTTTTTTCTCTTTTTTTACGTCTCATGCACACACAACACTGAAAGCAGAGCACGAGTCCTTCCTGTTTCTCAGAGAAGTGAGGAGCGTTTCAGACAAATGACTGGAAAAGAGCTGCTGATTTCTGCCATCACAGAGGACGGCTAACGTTTCCAAACTACAGGGATTTTCATCCTTGTTTTCCAATACAAATATCCGAACATTCTTTAATCGGCTATAAAGAACTAGAGAAGCAAAATTAAAATTACATTTAAAATTGAACAAAATGAAGCGAGTTTGTGCTTCAAATTAGAAGAATATCTGCCAGTGGGCTCAGAAAAATATGCATAATTTAAAACTAGATTATTATTGGCTGATCATTTTGTTTCCAGAAAACTATACTTCTTATTTTCTGTCAAAAAGGAAAAACATAAATTTTTGCAACAAACAGGCCACCAAAAATATCTGTTGCTAGGGTGTTGCTATGGGGTTGCTAGGGAGTTCTGGGTGGTTGTTATGATGTGGCTGGTTGTCAGGGAGTTGCTATGGGGTTCTACTTTATCTATAGTTACTGTATCTTCGCTACGTGTACTGCATTAGGCTAACCGAGACTTGTCATTTGCACTTATATATTGTTGCTCTTTTGTTAGTTTTGACTGCTTTTATTGTGCTCTTTTGTAAGTCGCTTTGGATAAAAGCGTCTGCTAAATGACTAAATGTAAATTGGGTTGCTGGGGTGTTCTGTATGGTTTCTATAAGGTTGCTAGGATGTATGTGGTTGTCAGGGAGTTGCTATGGGGCTGCTAGAATGCTCTGAGTGGTTGTTTTGAGGTTGCTAAGATGCTCTGGGTGGTTGCTATGAAATTGCTAGGATGTGGGTGGTTGTCAGGGTGTTGCTATGGGGTTGCTAGAGTGTTCTGGGTGGTTGCTATGAGGTCGCTAGGATGTGGGTGGATGTCAGGGAGTTCCTATAGGGCTGCTAGGATGTTCTGGGTGGTTGCTATGAGGTTGCTAGGACGTGGGTGGTTGTCAGGGTGTTGCTGTGAAGTTGCTAGAATGTTCTGGGTGGTTACTATGGTTGTCAGTGAGGTACTGTGTGGTTGCTAGAGAGTTCTAGGGGGTTGCTGTGAGGTTGCTAGGATGTAGGCGGTCATCAGGGGGTTGATATGGGGTTGCTATGAGATTGCTAGAATGTAGGTGGTTGTCAGGGAGTTGCTATGAGGTTGCTAGAGTGTCCTAGATGGTTGCTATGGTTGTCAGTGAGGTACTGTGTGGTTGCTAGAGAGTTCTAGGGGGTTGCTGTGAGGTTGCTAGGATGTAGGCGGTCATCAGGGGGTTGATATGGGGTTGCTATGAGATTGCTAGAATGTAGGTGGTTGTCAGGGAGTTGCTATGAGGTTGCTAGAGTGTCCTAGATGGTTGCTATGGTTGTCAGTGAGGTACTGTGTGGTTGCTAGAGAGTTCTAGGGGGTTGCTGTGAGGTTGCTAGGATGTGGGTGGTTGCCAGGGAGTTGCTATGAGTTTGCTAGAGTGTTCTAGGTGGTTGCTATGAAGTTGCTAGGATGTGGGTGGTTGTCAATGAGGTACTGTTGGGTTGTTAGAGAGTTCTAGGGGTTTGCTATGAGGTTGCTAGGGTGTGGGTGGTTGTCAGGGTGTTGCTATGATGTTGCTAGAGTGTTCTGGGTGGTTGCTATGCGGTTGCTAGGATGTGGGTGGTTGTCAATGAGGTACTGCTGGGTTGTTAGAGAGTTCTAGGGGTTTGCTATGAGGTTGCTAGGGTGTGGGTGGTTGTCAGGGTGTTGCTATGATGTTGCTAGAGTATTTTGGGTGGTTGCTATGATGTGGGTGGTTGTCAATGAGGTACTGTGGGGTTGCTAGAGAGTTCTAGGGGGTTGCTAGGGTGTGGGTGGTTGTCAGGGTGTTGCTATGATGTTGCTAGAGTGTTCTGGGTGGTTGCTATGATGTGGGTGGTTGTCAATGAGGTACTGCTGGGTTGTTAGAGAGTTCTAGGGGGTTGCTACGAGATTGCTAGTGGGTGGTTGTCAGGGTGTTGCTATGATGTTGCTAGAGTGTTCTGGGTGGTTGCTATGATGTGGGTGGTTGTCAATGAGGTACTGTGGGGTTGCTAGAGAGTTCTAGGGGGTTGCTAGGGTGTGGGTGGTTGTCAGGGTGTTGCTATGTGGTTGGTAGAATATTCAAGTTCATCCTCAAGTCTCTGAGACTTTCTGCTCATGTTTTGCTCATTTCAGCAGCTGTCTGGTGAAAATCACTCATCTGATCACTTAGTAAATGAACACCAGTAATTACCCACAATTCAAGGATCTACAGTATCTCACTGATATTGATGAATAAATCACATAAACACAATCTATAGGATCATTCATATTACTGTAGTGAATACAGCAGGAAAGCTAATGAGAAGTAGTCTTGTTTGTGATTCAAGATTAAGGCAGGTTCACACTGCCCTCTGCTGGAGATGTTTATGTATAAAATGAAATTTTATGTAAATTAAAATGAATACACTTTTGGGAATAACACATAAAATGACCATATTACCTGACAGATATCAGAAGATCAATCCACCAGTTTCAAATCAAAGCTGCAATGAGGACATTAAATGCTGGATGTGTCTCTGCTAAATGAAAATAAAACATAAGCACTAGACACTGAACCAAAGACATGAAGATCAAACCATACTGTTAATGTTCATTCATATTGACTATAACTATATGAATTATTTATCAACTTGATGAAAGTCAACAGATGAAAAAATGTATGAATTATACATGCATGAGTGAACTTGTTTCACATGTCACGTTTATGATTTCTTACAAAACAATAATGAAATTACTTTTAAAATATTTTCATTTTAAATGCACATATTAAATCCATATATCACATTTATGTTTATATAACACAATTATGAAATAAATGTATATAATTAATATAATAAAGGGGTGAAATCAGGTAAATTGGGACACATTTATCATTGAAATGACTGGGGGAAATGTACCAATTAACCTAAATTCACCATAAATATTGAATTATTAATATTTTAAATATTACTAAAATGTTTTTGCGATTATATTATTTTATATTAAAAAAATTAATAAAATATTAATTTGTCAATTTGTTCTTTTGCTTTTGAAAAATATAATATAATAATATAAATGAAACAATATTTGTGACCAAGACACTTTTTCATAAGACAGCTTTGCCTGAATGCTGCATTTGTTTTCACAATCTTTTTGAGTGTATTTTAAGTTGATGAGCATAAAGTTTATTTTCAATAATAATAACTTCACAGTTTAAGCAGACAAAGCTAAATGAAACTCTGGAAAAGAAAGTCATGTTTATTCAGGTTCTCAAGGCATCAGTTTCACAGAGAAAAACAATGACATCATTGATCAAACAGCTTCGAGTTCAACAGACAAACGCAGTTAATTTGGTTGTTTGAAGCTCCACGTCTCTCGACTGGAAACATGAGCGACTCATCGAGGACAGTCTTCAGTTATGACCAGACAGACAGTTTTACATTCCCAAATAAAAAGATCCACATCGAGATGAAGGTTTAATTAAACTCAGTAAGCTATTGCACATTCTCACTGCATTTATTTTTGTACACACACACACACACTCTCAAGACACAGACACACACACACACACCCACACTCACTCCCACAGGTTTGTTTTTGTGAAAAGTGGGGACTCTCCATAGGCATAATGGTTGTTATACTGTACAGACCGTATATTCTATTGCCCTACACCAACCCTACCCCTAAACCTACCCCTCACAGGAGTCACTCACTCACAGACACACACACTCACTCACTCACTCACTCACAGACACACACACTCTCTCACACTCACACACTCACACACACCAACACTCTCTCACACACCAACACTCTCTCTCTCACACACTCACTCATACACACACTCACTCATTCACACTCACTCACACACACACAGACACACGCACTCACTCACTCACTCACTCACAGACACACACACTCACACACACACACACACACTCACTCACACACACACACTCACACACTCACACACACACACTCTCACTCAGACACACACACTCTCTCACTCAGACACACACACTCTCTCACTCAGACACACACACTCTCTCACTCAGACACACACACTCTCTCACTCAGACACACACACTCTCTCACTCAGACACACACACTCTCTCACTCAGACACACACACTCTCTCACTCAGACACACACACTCTCTCACTCAGACACACACACTCTCTCACTCAGACACACACACTCACTCACACTCACACACTCTCTCACACTCACAGACACACACTCACTCACAGACACACACTCACTCACTCACAGACACACACTCACTCACTCACAGACACACACTCACTCACTCACAAACACACACTCACTCACTCTCACAAACACACACACTCACTCTCACACAAACACACACTCACTCACTCTCACGCAAACACCTCAACACTCACTCACAGACACACACTCACTCACAGACACACACACACACACTATCACTCACAGACACAGACTCAGACTCACACACACACTTATTCTCATCTTAAACACTTAAAATCAGCTTTTAGTTTTGTGCCCGTCCATGTCATGATCAGAAAAAACATCTGGAATTATAAAAAAAAGACAAAAAAAATATGAACAACTTTCCAGGAGAGTCCAGACCAGTTCAGACCAACAAGAATCCGGTCAGATTTGAATAAATTAGTCGTGAACTGAAGTGTGTTTCTGTGTTGTAGGGATTATGAATGAATGAATGAGCGGCTGGAGATTCTGGACTCTGGATTTGTTCTGTAGGTCAGTAGGTCGTCGCGGGCGTTTCACGGGCGGAGCTAAACAGAAGCTCCGCCTTCGAGCTGATGAAGTACGTAACCAATAGAGACAGCAGCAGCACGGCCACGCCCACCCCCAGTGTTAACATCTATCAGACAAACACAGAGGGAGAAAAATAAATCACCCAGGTCGCATTTCACCTCAAGACTAAAGCAGGAAAAAAAAAAAAAAGGAAAGAAAAGATATTTTTTACACATATTTTAGGTTCATTAAAATGTGTGTGTATTATGCCATTATTTACATGACAATTAAACATAACAAACAAACCCCAGATTCTCATTACTGTAATCCAAAACATTACTTACTATATTTACTCTATTGAGAATATTATGGATTTAAAAAAAAATTTAATTAGCATAATCAGTGTCAAATATGCTAAAAAAAATGCAGTATGCATAATTTATTTAGTCTTTTAATTAAGGTGTGAAATATGACAGATATGTATTTGATATGTTTTGGGTGCTTCACCTTTTCAGAAGTAAAACTAAATTATTATAGATCAAAATAAATCTGATTTCTGTAAAGTGTAAGGTGACTGTGACTCATTTTAGTATCATTGAGATACTATTATATTTATTTATTATTAATATATTGAATTTGTTTTTATTTGATTTTTTAAAGTTTTAGTAATTTTGTTGAGTTTTCTGTCATTTTTATTATTTTATAAACATGTCCATTTGTGACCCTGGACCACAAAACCAGTCATAAGGGTCCATTTTCTGAAGCTTTCCATTGATGTATGGTTTGTTAGGAGAGGACAATATTTGAAAATCTGGAATCTGAGGGTGCAAAAAAATCTAAATATTGAGAAAATCATCTTTAAAGTTGTTCAAATGAAGTTCTTAGCAATGCATATTACTAA